AAACTGTTGAATTATTGGATGAGGACCCGAAGGTTTATGGGGTAATTTTACAAGAAGACAAAGTCGAGTAATGATGATTTTTCAACTTTGTGTTTGTTATCATCTTCGTTTCTTGAATAAGCTAAAGCACCCCCGAGGTTCAACGTCGTCTTGTACCATACCGCCACCATTTGAAATGTCAATGGCTTCTAACATTTGAACTACCTCTTCCATCTTGGGTCTTCTTTTGGGGTCCGTATCCCAACATTTTTTCATCACGTCAGCAACAGAAATGGGGCAGCACTTGGGTATTTCCGGCCTCAAACTCTGAATGCAAAACTTTTAAGAGTTAACTAAAACATTTCACTGTGTATTGCTATATAGACATAAATTAACAAACTGCAGAAACTACCTTGTAAACAACCAGTGAGGTTTCTTCAATTGAAGCAATGTTGGGAAATGGCATGGAACAACAATAAATTTCCCATAGACAGATCCCAAAACTGTACACGTCGCATTTCTGATCGTATGGATTGCCAATTAAGACCTGAAAAGGATGTACAAAAATTTTGATCACTAACTATAAATAAATATGCTTTCAAGCTTACCCAAACAAACTTAACTCGTATCATTAAAATAAAAGATTTGATTAAAAAAAAAAAAAAAAAACCTCTGGTGCCATATAACCAAGTGTCCCAGTTTGTCCAGTCATCTCAGCAAGATTTGCAGCTTCTACTCTTGAGACACCAAAATCAGTTATTTTGACTCTTCCTTCTTTATCAAGAAGCATATTTTCTGTTTTCACGTTTCTGTGAACAACCTTTAATGAATGCATATAACTCAACCTATAAGAGGGGGGAAAGGTAAAAATTAGCTACTTTTTTTTCTTTTTAATCACTTTGATCTATGAAGAAGTGAAAAATCATTTTTTCGCCTAGCTATTATCATAAATTTGTTCTTAAAATGAAATGAATAGATATATACCCTCTAGCTATGTCAAGTGCAAGTCCGACAACCACTTTCAATGGTAGCTTCTTTATTCGGTTTCGTATGAGATAAGACTTTAGAGTACCTCCCATAAGATATTCTACCACAATGCAACAAATATTTTGTGGCTTGTCAATTTTGCCACTATCAGGTTCCATTTTTACTTCAGCAATGCCTTTTTTTGCACCAATTAACTTGAGAAAAAAGAAACATGTAAAAGTTAGTGGGTGACTTAATCAAACTAATAAAAAATTTCTTAACTTTCTAAAAGGAGAGCACCAGTCCAAAGCGTGTACTTGGAATGCGTTACTAAACGGTGGACGATATAATGAACAAATAATGTACCATCCACTTTATCGAACAATCTATATTCGTTTATGAATTATAATTAAGAAATTAAAAGGCAAAAATGCATGAAGAAAGGAGGTTTCTAGTTACCTTGGCAATGTTAGGATGATCCAACTTATTCCATACAGAAACTTGTTGAAAGAAAATTTTGTGCAGGGAATTTTCTCCCAAATCCAGTAGCTTAACTAAAAATTAATCAAAAGAAAATAAGAACCTAACATTAGCAAGGATCAAAACCTCAAAGATTTATCATGATTTATAATTTAATTTTGTCCATAAATATTTATGTAATTCCGAACGGATTTATTTCATGTAAATTCCCTTTAAATACTACATGAAAATAGTTCAAAAAATATTAAGGTATTCAATAATTAGTTGCATACACATCGAATTTAGTAAAATACCAAACTTAATTCTTGATTAATAATTACATATTATAAGAAGTAAATTATAGTTTAAAAATAAGTAAATTAAATAATTTACGACTGCATGTTAGTTAAACAATTAGTTATTCAGAATGTCCACTAACAAAAAAATTAAGCCAATATTTCATACGTATACCATTCTTTAAATACAAATGTACGCAGATTAATATCCTGTTTTAATAATGTTTTTGTGACAGCAACAATAATAATTTCGTCTTAAAATTAATTATCATGAAAAGAAGTACTAATACTGTTAATTATCAAAACAATGTCACGTCCATTGTTATTAGTTTGTTCTTACCCAGCGCATCAAAGCTCCAATCAATCATCAAATTTTTAAGTGAAGCAACTTCGTGCAAATAGAACTCCATGAAATATTCAGCATTGCAAAACAATTGACAAAATTTAATTATCATGAAAAGAAGTACAAATGTTGAAATAAACAGGCACGATATTATAATTCACAATTTAAAAAAAAGAAAAAAGAAAAAAAAAAGAAGAAGAAGTGGGATACAAAATAGAAATTAATTAAAGTGTGAAATTATATATATATTTGTATGTTATACGTAATATCTAAATATATGCATGCATACGTTCATTACCTGCAACATCTAATCCATCGTATAAACCTCTATGAACGGATTCAAACGTGGCTTGGCCGAATTTACTCTTCAACAACAGCTTATTGGGATCGATTTCCCATTTTTCTTTTGCCAATAGAACCTTAGTTTTGGATTTCTTATCATCGTCACAGGATTCCGTCTTCGTCAACATTAATACTTTATTTAAATGTCGTTCCAACTGTTGATCCATCTTCCTAATATCGATATCGATACCGACTTTCGATTTTATGTTCTTTTCTGATCTATTTAAGTTCTCCATTGTTTTCGAAACAATAAAATCTATCTAGCTGTCTGTGTTTGAATAAAGATTGATTTCGGAACGTATAGACTTGGGTTATATATATGAGAGAAGATTAATGTTCGTATTCCTAGTGACTTGAGAAGATGCGTTATTTAATGTTTTCCTAATCCTAGTAACTTCAGAAGTTTGGTCTGGTTAATTTAAAGAATTAAGTGGCAAAATATGAATAGAAAAAATGCACACAAAGTTATATTGACAATTTTTTTAATTGGCCTTATTATCGAGAAAAATTTTAATTATTTAATTTTTCCAATTAATGGTCAAATGATGTCCATTTTTTTCTTTTTGTCTTTTCATTTTAATCTGAAATTTGATCCATTAGACAGGTTGAATTCGGTAATAGACATGGTCGAAAATTACTATTTGCCCCAATTCGAATGCACCAATTAATTAAAATACTTGTCCAGCGTCCAATTAATTTGTCTTAATTTCTCGTGTCTTTCGATGAACTTAAAATTTGATTGCAATTTAAATAAAAAGTTTGCACAGTAAAGCATACATTCCACTCCGATTTTCTTCATATCTGATTAGTAAGTGGTAAGTAATAATCGAATTGATTGTTATACAATGCATCAATTGTTTGTCATCTAAATTGTTTTCAGTTGTCAAAAGTGTACAAATCCTCGATTAGTTGTCAAAAGCTTCTAAAATCAGCACAATCCTACTGGCTGATCGAGGAAAACTTGTGTGTCGTGAAATAACACCAATTGATGACATATAGATTATATGTAATATATCGGAAATCTTACAGAAAGACCTAGCTTGTCTCCTATCGACTTTACACTTGATATCTACCTTTACAAACGTGACACACAAGTTTGAAGTAGATGGATTAATACAGCTAAAACACTGCAGGTTTGTTATACCTGGGGCGTTTCTTCTTCTCTGGAGTCGAGTGCACTTGAGTTTTCATCCCGTATGTCTTCATTTGAAAATTCTCAAAGGCCTCAGATATTGCTTCCACCTGTGTGAATATAACATAACAACAAAGCCGTATGAGACGAGCAAATCAACTTTAAAGAATTTATTAAACAGGACATATAGTTTTGGACAGACTAGGTCGGGCTTCTTGGAATAAACTCGAACTATCATATCTTGGCAACATGCAGGCAGCAAATGACTGATCTGATCCTCTGTAATGCTGAATTTTTCAGTGCTCTCGTAATCCTGATAAAGTCAAATAAACATTATGTGAAAAGATAAACTATCCTTGTGAATAAATTATTAATCATTGACATTCATATGGCTTTTTAGAAAGTTTTTAGGTATTATAATTTTAAGTGTTAATAATTTCGAAAGAAGATTTGAAAGGAACTTGAAAATTTTTAAGCTTGGAAAGGAAGATTTGTACCTGGAAAAAGTTGATGCTGGTGAAGAGAAAAGCACATGAACGCAGCAAAAGTTAAATCAAAATTTAGAGTGACTCTGTAGAAATGTCAGTCGTGAATCTACATTGAAAATCTTTAGCCAAGTATCACTGAAGTACCTTTCAAGTGGATTCTTCCTTCCACGAGTAAGATCAATTTTGACATTGCTCACCGCAATATCATCCTCCCGCAGCGCAGGGCGACTAGAATTCTGCATTGAAGTCAATATGTCAGGTTTTATATCAATAGTCTAGACTGGACATATTTGCATGTATCTGATCAGACCTGCGAACAAATTATATCTTGAGGAGTAACATTTTTGAAGTGCTCCAGCTTGTCCTTTGGAACAGCGAACTCGTTACAAAACTGTAAGGGCATTTTAAGGAACGGGAAAGGGAGATATTGCTGTCAGTAAATTGCTCAGCAAAGTTGATGCACCCAAAACATACACTTAAGAGTTAAAAGTCGCAGATTACATCATATAAATTGTAGGGAAATACTACATGTACATAATTGTCTACATAATGGTGTCCATAATTACACGTGGCACTGGATCCAACCTTTAATTCAAATCTCACACTTGCACATCAACAACCGGATGATTGCCACATCACATTATAGACACCATCATGTACAATAATTATGTACAAGTAGAAATTTTCTAAATTGTATTGCAAATACCTGGTAAAGATCCCTTCTCCGTATGCGAAGAATTAGGTCTCTAGATTCCTTCAGCTCTTGATGGGAAGAAGTTTCAATGGTTTTCATTATTGTGTCGTCTAACTGCAGATTGAAATAAAATGAACCACATAGGTTTCTGAGATATCAAACAAATTATACATTTTACGATAAATCATTGATAAACTCAACTAACCTTCCAGTATTGAGCTGGATCATCAATGTATGATGCAATTTGCAGATAATCATTTGCTTTTGTCATAGCATCAACGAACATGAGTTCTATAGCCTAAAAAACACTAAATGTTAGATTGTTTATTCCAAGTTTAGACATAGATCAAAGC